TTCTGTCACTTCATCTAGAAGCCAGGCCTTGTGTGAGGCGCAGATCTTCAGGGCAAAATACCTACAACGTTTATAAAATACAGTGCGTACTCCTGCCATTCCACTTGGACACGCACAGGTCTATGGGCCCAGATAGGGTGCTCACCAAGCCACTCTCCATCATCTCTCAGCAGTCCTGGTCAACAGGGGGACCCAGACTGGAGAGTGGCCAGTGTGACACCCATCTACAAGAAGGGTCAGATGAAGGATCCGGGGAACTACAAGCCTGCCAGCCTGACCTCGGTATCAGGGAAGGTTTTGGAGCAGATCATCTTGAGGGCTATGACACATGTGTGTGACAACCAAGGGATCAGGCCCAGCCAACATGGGTTCATGACAGGCAGATCCTGCCTCACCAAGCTGATCTCCTTCCACAACCAGGTGATCCACCTACTGGATGAGGGCAAGGCTGTGGACATGGTCTGCTTAGACTTCACTAAGGCCTTTGACAGTCTCTCACTGCTTTCTCCTGGAGAAGCTGGCAGTTCATGGCTTAAACAGGTGGACTCCTTGCTGTCTGAGAAACTGGCTGGATAGCAAGGCCTAGAGAGCGATGATGAATGGAGTTCAATCCAGCTGGTGAACAGTCACCAGCAGTGCTCCCCAGGGGTCAGTGTTGGTGCTGGGCCTCTTCAGGATGTTTATCGACGATCTGGATGAGGGGATTGAGCGCACCCTCAGCAAGTTTGCAGATGACACCAAGCTGGGAGGAAGAGCTGATCTGCTTGAGAGTAGGAAGGCTCTGCAGAGGGGTCTAGAAAGGTTAGATTGATGGGCAGAGACCAACAGTATGAGGTTCAACAAGGCCAAGTGCCGGGTCCTGCACTTCGGTCAACTTCGGTCACAACAATCCCACCCAGCGCTACAGGCTTGGGGCAGAGTGGCTGGGGAGCTGTGCGGCAGAGAAGGATCTGGGGTTGTTGGTTGACAAGCGACTGAACATGAGCCAGCAGTGTGCCCAGGTGGCCAAGAAGGCCAATGGCATCCTGGCTTGTATCAGGAATAGTGCAGCCAGCAGGACCAGGGAAGGGATCATCCTCCTGTACTCAGCGCTGGTGAGGCCGCACCTTGAAAACTGTGTTCAGGTTTGACCCACTCACTGCAAGAAGGACATGGAGGTGCTGGAGCGTGTCCAGAGAAGGGCAACAAAGCTGGTGAAGGGGCTGGAGCACAGACCTTATGAGGAGCAGCTGAAGGAGTTGGGGTTTAGTCTGGAGAAGAAGAGGCTCAGGGGAGATGTTGCCACTTTCTACAACTACCGGAAAAGAGGTTATAGTGAGGCAGGCCTTGGTCTCTTCTCCAAAATAACTACCGGTAGGACAAGAGGAAATGGCCTCAAGTTGTACCAGGGGAGGTTCAGGTTAGACATTAGGAAGAATCTCTACATGGAAACAGCGGTGAAGCCTTGAAACAGGCTGCGCCAGGAAGTGGTGGAGTCACTGTCCCTAGCAGCGTTCAGGAAATGTGTAGATGAGGCACTTAGGGACATGGTTTAGCAGGCAGGGTGGTGATGGGTTTATGGTTGGACTTAATGATGTTGAAGGTCTTTTCCAACCAAAATGATTCTGTGATTCTATGATTCAAAGGTCATGTCTTGGAAAGTGCAGACTGTAGGTGACCTCTTTGCTGGCAAGAGATTTGGATTTTTATTTTTACAGGGTTCAGTCATTTATCTCTTATTTGGGAAGTGACTGTAGACATGCTCCTAAACGTGGCTGAGTGTTTGTAGTGCTGTAACACTGAAGCAATTCTTCTCCCTTCAGAGTAACATTAGCTTTATATCAAAAAGGCACACAGAAGAATTCAGTCCTTGATTTAAATCTGTGTTTTCAGGGGGAGAGTCCTCCAGGGCAAAGCACCTCATCTGTGTAGCCATGGAACTACAGTCCATCAATGCTAAAGCTTTAGGTCAGGTACTCATGAAAGGCAGTGCCAGTGGGAAACAGGATAGGCTCCCAGCAGGAACTCTTCCTAGATGCCTTCCCCACTGAGTCTGTGCAAAAAGCATTTTTAAAAAGAAAAGGCATTCTGTGAAAATGACCCGTGGTTAATGAATCAAATGAATCTACCACAGACAGAGGACACCCAGACAAATAGGGTCTCTCTCCTTTGATACTGACTGTGTGCTGATTTTCAGCAGCACAGATGAACCTCTGACACTTATCCTTACCTCCAAAATAAGTCTGTAAAGTCATAAATAATTTTGCATCAGTTAGTTTATTTTTTTTAATCCAAGGAATAAAATCTCACAGTTGCAGGTGCTAGAAATGTTCCCCTCACGCAGTGCCGTCCGTTCCTCAGAGCGCCCGTCCTGGTGGGCGCGCAGCGCCATGCGCCGCGGCGCTGGGGCCGTTGCTGCCGTGTGAGTCCGGCCGTGGCACCTGTGGGGCTGCTCCAACCGCGCTGTGGTGGGGCCTCCGCGGCGGCGCTGCAGGAACAAGGGGGACACGGGGGTGAGCGGCGCGCCCGGCCCTGGAGAGCTGCAGGGTGGCAAAAGGGGAAGAAGGCACCAGGGGAGAACAGGCACTGCAGTGAGAGAACCTGTGGGCCACCACGGGCTCCACTGCAGTAGTTCTACCCCACACTCAGGCCCTGAAATTTGTCATGGAAAAGGTGGCTCTGTGATTACAGTAAGAGAGCGATAGTCCTGTGCAATAATGAGTATTTTCACTGCTTTGCTTTCTTCTTTCACCCTCACGAGTTCTCGCCTGTCTGTCCGCTTTTCAACTATGGCCATTCCTTGGCTCGTGTCTGCTGTAACTCACACACCAACCTTTGTGGGCACCGTATCAATCATTGTGTTGTATCAAATGGAACCTCCTATCACTAGCACCCTGCCTGCCACAAACAGGGGCGGGCATAGCGAGTTAATAGCAAAAGACTAAAAGCAGGAGGAAAGACAAAATAGCCTTGTTTCAGACAACCAAGACAAAACAACCTAAACAACCAGAGACAAAATGCAGAGCCTTGGTTCCTCGAGTCAAAATACATGGGAGAAAACAGGATGAACCAGGGTAGGCTTTATATCTACTCTGGTAGGGTTTGCTCTGTTTTGCTTTATCTATATACATTATATATATATTTAAATGATTATACAAAATACACAGGGGTGTAGTAGAAAAAAACTGTGGGAGGCATCTGAGGTTGATATATACAAGGTGGGGAAACATCACTGCACATTGAGGGTACCGAGAGCATGAGACATGACGAGGGCTAGATGAGCTGATTATCCATTGCTCCCACTGAAAATCCTGAAGCTGAGGGGCTGGGAATCAAAGCCATGAAAAAAAACTTTGAAAATTGTTTCACACATGCCCAGCATCAGCATTTAGACACATCAAAGAAACATTTTTGATTCTTCTTGAGTAAATTAAACCTGGGAGACAGGAGCCTGAAGTTTCCCTGTGTGAGGTAGAGGAGATGTCTTGACTACATCCTGAAAGCTGAAGGTGTCTGCCCCTATTCTGTGCTACAAATGCACTGCTTGGATAAAATCCTGACAGCTACTGCAGCTACACTGTTCCCTTGAATAAAACAAAAGATCTACTGTTCATTTTCCCATCACCCACAATTCACAAGCTATTTATTTGCACACGCTGCCTGGGTACTTTCCCAAGACATTGTAACAAGCCATTCTGCTCTTGCTATCCCAATCTGGAAAGCATTAGCCTCCCTCACACACAGAAGATACCCCAGCACAGCACATGGCAATGAGACTATGCTCTATTCCCTTGCATAGCTGCAAGTTTCGTTCTTCATGGAAAAACAGGTGGCCCCAGTCAAACACACTTCCCTCTTTAGACGAATGGACAGCCCCAGTGGGGGAGAGGATGGTTCTGGGCACGTTGTAACCTGCTGCCAACAGAGGGACTAAAGCTCAGGCTGGAGGCTGCTGGGGAGCTGCAGTGGGTGACAGATGCAGCTGTAGATGACTCAACAGCGACTGCTGAAGAAGCAGGCCATGGTCAGCAGATGGGCACACTGCTTCATTACAACAGCTTTCTCCCTCCACATGCTGGATGAACCGGCTGGAAAACGAGGCTGGAAAACAAGCAGCTCCTCAAGACACAAAAT